AAAGATTCAGTGGTTCAAGAAACTGTCCCCAATTTCCTTTTCTTTCAACTGGGGAAATACTGGAAAACAAGGGCAAGGTTGTTTTCTCCCTTGAAGCATACTTTGCATCTTTCTCTAAAGTGGTTCCAAAGGCTGTTGTGAATAGTTAGCGCTTTTCAAGATGTGGATGTTTGTTTCCTTTGGCTGAGACATTGCAAGCTGTAATGCAACTGCCTTCAAGCAAGTGCCATCCAGATGTGTTGGCCTGTATCAGCGCTCCTAGCCAGCATGGCAAATCCAAGCTGCAGTTTTCTTGGACCTGGCAACCACCCGAAGGTTAAGACTACAATGTTTGCTATCCCCAGCCAGTATACCCATGTGGTCTTGGGTGATGGGAATTGTAATCCAGCATATCTGGAGGGTATCAGCAGGGGTGGCTTTGCATAGCATGTAGATCTATATTATAAATAATGAGTTGCTCTGTTGGATTATTGTTCAATTATATAAAAAAAAAGTACGCAAGCTGTAGAGTTCAGCCAAGATCCTCAGGGACAGAACAGAAAAAAGAATATTATGATGACCAGTCAATTTGTTCAATTTGTTCCATATCCACGGATTCATTATCCACAGATTCAACCATCCACGGCTTGAAAATATTCCCATAAGATATAAATTCCAAAAAGTAAACCTTGATTTTGTTATTTTATACAAGGGACACCATTTCACTACACCATTGTATTCAGCGGGACTTCAGCATCTATGAATTTTGCTATCCATGGGAGATCCTGGAACCAAACTCCAGAAGATAGTAGGGGCCTTTTGCATAGATTACCTTCTTCGAAGGCAGTCATGGTTTTTAGCTAAAGATTTCTGATGGTCAGCTGATAGTTTCCATGGGAAATTTCACATTTGCTGATGGATAAAAGTGGGCAACTGTGGTGGATTGCAGGATCTAAGCCCACAGGGACTGTCAAAATTGGGAAAAAACACAGAAGTGTCCAAACACCCACTTTTAGTTTTGAAAAACACATGTCCTCCAACACGTCTTAGGAGTTTAATGTATTTTAATATAAATATTGTGTAGAGGTGTATTTTTAATATGTGTATTTTATGTAACAATTGTGTTTTTAACTATACTGTAACCTGACTCGAGCCGTGAAGAGAGGTGGGTAAGAAATAAAAATTATTATTATTATTATTATTATTAATTATTATCTATGATTAACCTGTGAAAATTGCACAATTGACATTAAAACGTGCTTAAAATGACATTAACACAAGTGCCATTATCCCGTGAAGAACCAAGGAATAACCAGGCAAGAAACAACAAAAAGTCATTCATGGGAAAATACTTGAATCATTTACTGTTGTTTCTTGCCTAGTTCTTCATGGGATAATGGGTACTTTAATCATGTTTCGTCTCAATTTCAGGTGAAAACTATTTGCGCATTTGCATACAAGTGTGGGTTAATCATGGATTCTGCACGGGATAACAGCGCTTTGTGTGTGAAAACCATTTGCGCAATTGCGGGTTGATCACGACGGGTTAATCTCTGTTTATACTTCCAATTTTTCTCCATGTGATAAACTCCTTAGATGAAAACTTGAACATGTGTGGCTGGGTAGACATTAGAGTGTGGTCAAGTTATTAATGAGGGAGAATATACAGCAGTTTGATTTTGCCTGACCCTTCTGGGAAGGGCAAGATTCTCCACCCTGTTGAGTTACTTGCAAGCAAACAACTTTTACACTTTGAACTCAGTTTGCAGTGGCTGAAGCAAGCTGAGAACCAAGTGAGGAAAGTGGAAGGAGGAGAGAGAAACTGGGACATTTAAAAAGCAGTTGGAATAAAATGAGATTACAGAGAATTAATTGGAACAACCTACTTTCTTGGGCATCCACCACTTTCTTGGGCATCAGCTGAAGAAAGCGGTCCATTCTGTAAGTGGTCGGGGCACGGATGAATCCCGGTTGTGTTTATCAAAAACTCATTTCTTTAAACGAATGAGCATTTTATTTTCCAATATGAAACAAGAATGTGACATGTCATTTTAAACGCGTTGCTGCCTTTAACTATTTTGCTTCGCCAGTTCTAACATGGTCGTTGTCAAAGCCTTTTGGGTGCATGGATCTCCTCCTTTGTGGCAATGCCAGCCATCCACCTGCCTGCCTCCCAATCTTTCCTCCCTCGCAGCATTTATGAATCAATTTTTCTAAAGAGAGAGAGAGATTGCAAATGTTGCCTTAACCAACAACCACAAAGTCTTGGCCCCTTTCTTGGGTCGCTTCCCGCTTTACCCGGAGCCTTGATAAATCAAGGCCATTTATTTGCTCCCTCTGCTCCCTGCTTGCCATTCAAAATACCACTTGTGGCTTTCAGAGCTAAGTGAATTACTGTGCATGCGATAAACACCTCTTCCTCAACAACATACTCAAACGTCAAGCTTCTCGAAAGGCCTCTCCCCGGGGAGGCTTCCCCAAGCACCAGGGGTAGACAAATGCCAGAGCTACTTAAGATTATTTTATTTCTTGCAGCCTGTAATTTTCTGTCCAAGAGAAGCACAAAGGTCAGGGGGCTGCTGCTGAGGGAGGATTTATGGGCTCTAGAACAGAATAAGAAATGTCCTACTGGATCCCACCCAAGGTCCAGCGTTCAGAGATTTTCCGAATGCTCTAGGAAGCTCAGGAAGGCTTGGGATGCAAAGGACTGGCTCGCCGTCCATCATTCCAGCACTTAGTGGTCAAAAAGGTATACTGCCTTGGAACAGGGAGGTTCTGTTTAGCGTCGAGCTCTAGAGCAAGAAGCAGTTTGCATTCTTTGTGGTGAAAGTGGATGAGTTAAAATGTCTGACTAAAGGAGACTTGTACTCTCTTTCGGAGCCTAGCCAGACAAGAAAAAATTATCTGTAAGTGACAGGTTTTGCTCCTGTACAAACTGATTTTATTTTGGAGCTCTACATGACATTTTTTTTCTCATAGCAAAGTATTCCCAGGGAACTCCTGGTATTATCAAGGACTTTGCATTCCCGCTCTCTGGGTCAGTTTAAATTAACCCAATATTTCCTGAAATGAAACGCACCTCTCCATAGCTGTCTGTTTGTATTATGCCAGAACTAGCTAAGATGGCCACCACCAAGAAACATATTGATTGTTTCCAGGACCCAAATTCAACAGAGATCAAGCAAGGGGAAGAGGAACGCTAGCAATGAAAGAAAGGGATCCTAATGCTTAACTAATCTAATATTGTTAAAGCACTTGATCACGTTGGGTGCATCTACACTGTAGAAATAATGCAGTTTGGTACCACTTTAACTGCAATGTTTCCATCCTACAGAATCCAGCACTCTTAGACAGAGAAGACTAAAGACCTTAAAAAACTACAAGATGGAGCTACAGCATTTAAAATTGTGTCAAACTGCATTATTTCTATAGTGTAGATGCACCCTGTCTCCCTTCCTTCGTTTCACATCCAATACTGAGTAAATGCAGCAACATCTCTTCTCTCAGTACTTAAAAGACTGCAAAATACCCAGATTTTAGCAATCTAGTGGCCTTAATGTACTCACAGCTTCCAATCATACACCAACCAGGGCTTACAAAAGTTCCTTTTTCTGGGTGATAGCAGCCAGAATCCTGGGAGCGGGGATGGACCCAGGCTGCACCCAGGCGGCAATTTCGGCAGCAAAATCCTTGTGATAAAATCAAGATGCTGCCTGTTTTAAATCTTA